TATATTCCTCCCACTTACCTTTTGGTACAGATCTGGTTTGATTATGGTTCAAGTAGGATCCTTGAATATTGTATTCTAAATTTAGGGAATATGATTCCCARTTRRGAGAAGGTAGGAAATTTTTGAAATTCGCCCACCCATTCCGCAACCTTTATGGCGTCCATTGGATGGATCCTACTATTCTTTCACTTTCTTCAACCTCCTACACTGTTTCTAGAGATTATGTAATTTGCAGTTAGCGGTGTCAATTGGACTGGATTTGGTCCAATCCGATCCAGTCCAATGTGAGTCCATTATAAATGGATCAGGTCCAATCCAATCCAATGAATATTTTGGACCGATTCAATTTAATGTCTAAACCATCCAATCTGTTCAAATTCGTTTTGATTTAGATTGGTTTCAACCCAAACCTGGTCCATTGACACTTATATTCTTATCTTATATCAATGGACCAGATATTGGCTTAATCCAATATAGATTTATTACGGACAAACCAGGTTCAATCCAATCTAATAAATATTTTGGACCAAATTGGTCCAATCCAATATGTCCTGTTGGTCCGTCCAACCCATCCAAATTGATTTTGGACTGGACGAGGTTCAATCCAAAATTGGTCCATTGACACCCTTACTTGTAGTTGTCAAAAGAGGGGCAATATTGGGTTTCTTGAAAAAAATTTAATAAAATTTAATAGTTTATATAACGGGATCTTAACGAATTGCTAACAAAAGGGAGGTATATGTTTGATGATGTTATATCACAAGGGAGGTCTTAGTCCATTTAGAAAAGAGAGGGGAGCTCTTAGTATTTAGCATAAACATCATGGGAGGTTTAGTCTTTTACCCTATAATACAATACTAACGGGCCCATGCAATGTACGAGATTTGTTAAGCGAAAGTTAAACAATAGAAACACATAGGTTGTTCATCAAACTGGTAAACCGACCAATTCGGGGTCGAGTTGGTTGGTTTTCTAGTATTTCCAATTGTCTTTGGTTCAACAATTTCTCAATTCGACTAGGCTGGATCAGTTTTGCTCTAGCCATTTATAATCGACCAAAATGAAACGACTTGATATATTAATATTTTGTATTTTAAATATAACTTTTTAATATGCAAAAGTGGAAATTTTCTCATATTTCTTAGTCTAAAATATTTTATATTTTTTTAATTTAAATTTAATTTTTTTAAGTTTAAATCTTTTGAATAGATTGACCAAACCGAAAATCGACCCAAATAGATACAACCTGAGTTGTTTGGTTTTCATTAATGGTCAATTAGTTTCAAGTGACCAACTCCCCAACCTGATCAGGTCAATTTAGTTGGCCAAAATGCCTACAACCTAACCAAGCCAACCTGTGAACACTCCTAATTTTGACTAAATTAATAGTCTAATTTAGTTGAGAATAATCTAAATTAATAGGCTAATAAATTAATACGAATTGAAGATAATTTAGGAGAAAGTGGGGGGTAGTGTTGGAGGTAGTTTAGGAGTGATATTATTTAGGTTATTGGGAAGGTGTGTGTGTGTGTGTGAGAGAGAGAGAGAGAGAGAAAGAGAGAGAGAGAGAGAGAGAGAGAGAGAGAGAGAGAGAGAGATAGATAGATAGAGATTTCAGGTCTTTTTTTATGAGGAAGAAGAACATTTTATTGGTTGTTTTAAAATGACATGGAATAAAAAAATAAAAATTTTAAAAAAAGGAGAAAAAATTAAGACTGTTGTGCTTTTGTAATTTACCCCTCTACATTTAAATTTATTGATAAAAAGTGAGGGCAAATAAGGTAATTGGTTATTGATATTAAATGAATTGAAAATAGGTAATATAATGATAATCAATGCACTCATTTCCCTCTCAATAAATCCAATATTTAATTTATTAACTTGCATTTATGTTCAATGAATCTTATATTTAAGACATTTTTTTTCTTCTCATCATTAAGTTCTATTAATTAAATCCTTACTTAATAAATTAATAATTCCAATAACATAAAAGCTTATACTTTTAAAATATACATAGAACAAATAGAGTTTTCATCTAGATGGTGGTAAGAAATTAAACCATTTTGGGTCAAATGGGCTAATCCATGTTGCCATGTTTAAATAATAAAATTCAAAAATAGATAAAATAAAAAATTTAAATTAAAAAAGTTGGGAACACTTTTAACATACATATTAAACAATAATAAGTATGATAAATAAGAAATGTTTTTATTAATGATGGAAATTGAATGTAAAATTTAAAACCAATTGGAAATAAAAATATTTTCCTATTCTCTCTCATTAAATCCTATATTTAAGATATATTTTTCTCATCATTAAATTCTTATAATTAAATCCACATTATCAATTTTAATAGCATAAAAATAAATATTTTGAATATGTAATGTAAGAAGTATTTTTTATTAATGATGAAAATAGAATGCCAAATTTAAAATCTACCTAGAAATGAAATGATGTCATAGTCAAATAATTAAATTTTTAAAAAATAGAAAATACAAAGAATCATAAAAATTAAAAAATATATATAGAGAAAATTTTGGGCACATATCTAATGTTATATATTTATAAAAAATAAAATATTGGGTACATCTCTAATATTATGCATTCATTATATTGAACAAAAATAAGTATTATACATAAGAAAAACAATTTTCAAAGATGGAAATGTAATATAAAATTTAATGTCAACTTAGAAATCACACTATTTTTCTTTTTGGGTGGTGGGTTAGTGGTTTGGGTCAAATGATATCATAGACAAACAAAAATTAAGTGTGATAAGTAAAAATCATTTATATAATGCAAATGAAATATATAATTTAAAGAGAAAATTATAGCCAAACTTGGTTATACATTTAAAATTAGGTTGTAGGTTGGCCCAAAAACTAATAAAATTCTARCAACCAGCTCTTCTTTTCAAATTATAAAAAACCCCCCACCATGTCATCAGAGGCTAATGTGGTTGTTGACAACATGGGACTCTATCCATGTTGGACACAAAAAAAGCCTATATCAAAAATAGGTTTTCAATTTCTCTCCCGCTCCCTCTGTCTCTCGATCTCCCTCCCTTCTCTCTCACTCTCGTAGTCGTGTCTCGATCTCCCACTCTCTCAGCTTTGGTATGTAGCGAAATCAAAACCTCGATTTCTCTTTCATTCTCTCAATCTCTCAATCTCTCTCATTCTTCTTCCTCACTCTCCCTCTCGGTTAATATATCATTTTCCCTCAATCTCTATCGTTCTCCCCTAGTCTTTCTCCTGCTACCTCTCTCATTCTTTTTTTTTTTATTTTTCTTACAAACTTTTATAATATTAATTAGATCATATAAAAGAACTAAAGGGACCAACCACTTGTATAATCAAGTTATAAATTTCTATTGGTGTAAATTTCATAGCTAAGAGTTTCTTGTGAACTTTTATCAAATTGGTGTAATATAATTGTTGAACTAT